AGAGTGCTAGACTGAAATTCCCAGTCTAAATTCGCAGTGTTGATGAGATTCTCAAATGCTAGTGAGTGGAGCAGTGTCTGGGAAGGAAAAAATTTACACAAGTGACAAGAGTAAAAATTCAACTGTTATATGTGGCAATAACCAAATAAGGAGGAAAGAGAAGCTTCAAGTCAAAACAAAAGAATTAAGTACCTGTCTCCACAAAATGGAAGGATGTGACTCTTTTAAGAACACGGCAAGGGGAAAAGTTCGAGTCTCAGTATTTCTTCACTTCTGCATATGAGGAGTTTGAGAACCATTTGGAAAAGGTAGTAACTCAACAGTAGCCTCATTCCATTTTTTAAAACCTTTTTTTTTTAAAGGTTAGCTCAGCCCTTCAGGAATCTGCTGAGGATAATGGAACTTCTACCTATAAAAAGTGCAATGAGCAAAAAATATTTATTCAATTTCAGGAGACTTGAAAGACTTCTTGAAGTTCATGTATGAGTCTAGGGAGGCGGCTAGAGAATCCCAGGAGCTTCTGGGACATCTTTAAAGCAGTGTTTCTTTTCTTTTTTTGTTTTTATTTATACATAGGAGCATTTCCTAACCAGGATATTTCAAGGGGAGCACAGGGGAAAATCATGCAATTGGAGGGGATGTGAGGTGAAGGATGGTGTTGGAACACTAAATGCTTGAAACAATCTTTTAATGAATAACTTTGTAAATCACAGTGCTTTTCTTTTTTTTAAATAAAAACCATCCTTTATTTTTATTAAAAAAGCTAAAAATTACATAAAAAGCAAATAAATCCTAAAAAAATATACTGATGCCAACAAAATACCTGATAAACACTGCTTTATAGACTATAAGTCAGAAGAGGGGCCAAGTCTCAAATCCAAGATAGAAATTTCAGGAGAACTAGTAGCTCTACAAGCCATTTTCTTTTTCTTTTTTTATTTTTATTAGTGAAACACCATGAGGTACAGTTGTAGACTTACAAATTTTTGTGCTTGGGTTTCGATTATACAATGATCAAATACTCATCCCTCCACCAGTGCCCATTTTCCACCACCATGGATAATATCCCCCCCCATCCCCCCACCCCCTCCTGCCTCTGTGGCAGGGCAATCCCCTGTGTTCTCTCTCTCCTTTTGGGTGTTGTGGTCTGCAAAAGAGGCATTCAGTGGCAAACATGTTCAGTCCATAGTCCACTTTCGACATGCATCTCCCCTCCTGGGAGGATCCTCCAAACACCCTTTATTTGGTGTTCCCTTCTCTATCTGAGCTGCCCTTTCCTCTAGAATGCCCGACTGGCCACTAAGCTATGGAGTAATCCTCCTGGTGCTGATCTCAGCTATTCTTGGGTATTAATCTCATATTTTGTTACTTTATATCCCCCAGATGAATGCAATCTTTCTATGTGTATCCCTCTCTTTCTGACTCATTTCGCTTAGCATGATACTTTCCATGTTGTACCACTTGTATGTAAATTTCATGACTTCATCTTTTCTAAGAGCTACATAGTACTCCATTGTGTAGATGTACCAAAGTTTCTTTAACCAGTCATCTGTTCTTGGGCATTCAGGTTTCTTCCAGTTTCTGGCTATTGTAAAGAGTGCGGCAATGAACAAACAAGTGCAGATGTCACTTGGACTATACTTTTTTGCCTCTCTGGGATATATTCCCAGGAGTGGTATTGCTGGGTCAAATGGGAGCTCAATTTCTAATTTTTTGAGAATCGTCCATACTGTTTTCCAAAAGGGTCTACAAGCCATTTTCTATGGCTTTTGTAGACTTCAAAGCGCTTTGACATGAGTCGACTAGCTGGACTGGGTAAGAAAAAGGCTGCTATTGAATCTCTACGTGGTTAGATTTCGTAGAATTAAAAACGTTTCCTTGTGAAACATAAATATTCTCAGTTGGTGATTTATCCTTGGTTAGCTCAGCTGCAGATCCTTAGAATGATTATCGATTAGCGCCTTCCCAAGGAGAAACAAACTACTTAGTTTTAAAGGTGTTCAGCTAGATGTCTAGGATCAGCAGCCATCGGGGTTTTCTCTGAGGCCTTGCAGAGGTCCATGAGGCCATCCATTTGCTACTGATATGTCTGTGGGGTCTGAATTTCCTTCACATACTTCCACCAAAACAACATGGTGCAGCAGATTAGATACAGCATAGATAAGAGAATACAGCTCTCTTCGATGAAGTTAGGTTTGAGTATTTGCAAAAATGGAAACAAAGCCAGGCTTCCTTCTGAAAAACTTTTTGAGGTTCATTTGTAATCTATTTTCTAAAATTTTTAGGGGATATATATGTATATATATATACACGCACATATATACAATTGTAGTTTTATTTTAGAATGCAAATATCAGTGCATACGATGCATATTGCACTGCTAGATCATTCCTGGCTCTGTTTAGGGGGACCAAGAGGTGTCAGGGAGGAGTGGGTTCCTGTGATGTGGCAGTGAGTGACTGCCTGGTATATATACTGTTGGGATGGGAGCAGGGCAGCTGAGCTGAAACCGATGTGGGGGTGCCAAGGTGGGCAGGGGGGCCACTGGACATTTGGGGAGGGCCACACTCCACCTGGTGGTGCTCAGAGCTTACTCTTTGTACACTCAGGAGATCGCTCCTGGTGGGTTTCAATGGGACCATATGGGGTGTCAAGGATGGAACCAGGGTCAGCCATGTACATGTCCACTAATTCTTCCACCAGCTATGTCCCTGCCCTCTCTCCCCTACTGAACTGTCTTTTTAAAGTGACCATGAGGCCAAGCAGTTTGAGAACCTGGTAATTTCGAGAAGACAGCAGAGAGGGGTGTGGACGCATCAGTTCAGGGGCTAAGCGTGGCTGGATGGTCAATCAGGTGGGAGTGGGGGGCGGGGGAGGGGGCCGAGGTTGTAAAAGGTGGAGGTGGACAGAGGAATGAAAAAGGTCAGATTTCTTCATTTTCCTGATCCAAACATAAGCAGTGTAGGTGCGACTTGTAGAAAGGGATCTTATGAAAAATGCTGTCTAGACTCAGAAAATTAGGAATGACATCTGTGCTTTTTTTTTTTTAGAAAAAAAGTGAAAAACGGGCTGGAGCTATATAGTACAGGGGGTAGGGCGGTTGCCTTGCACGTGCCCGACCCGGTTCTGTCCCCAGCATCGCATGTGGTCCCCTGAGCACCACCAGAAGTAATTCTGAATGCAGAGCCAGGAGTAACCCAAGCACTGCTGGGTTGACCACAAAAGCAAAAAAAAAAAGAAAAAAAAAAGTGAAAAACATCGAAGCTGAGCCTCTTTTTCGAATGAAAGATGAAAGTAGAAAATATTTTTGAAACCCCAGAACCCCAGTATTTTTTGGTTTGATCATAGGGTACAAGATGTGGTAATTGTTGTTGTTGTTGTTGCCTTAACAAAGTATTTTTTAAAACCATTTCCTGGCGAAGAAAAAGAAAATTTGTCCCCTTAAAGGAGACAAATCTGTAGGCATTAAAAAAAAAAAAAAAGACACAACCCTTCAAACAATGGCCTGGGGAGGCAGCCCAGAGGTGCATAATGAGCTCTGTTTTATTCCAGGTGGGCGCAGACCCCCAGCACCTGCCAGGGAAGGAATGGCCCCCAGCGTTAGGCCCCCAGCGTTAGGCCCCCAGCGTTACGAGTGGTGTTCTCCCTCTCCTTACCCCACCCTCAAATATCTTAAAGTTACACGTTTACCTGTGAAGCACTGAGTTTTGATACAGAGAATGGTGTACAGAAGACAATACTGAATTTAGAATAAGAAAAAAGAAAAAAAGGAAAAAATTCTTTTACTTGCTTTCAGACATCTTCCTTCTTTGAGCTTCATTTTCTTATCCATCAGCCTTTCCCTAGTTGAGGATTCGGACTCTTTTACCCACAAGACGTGAGTAAAAAATACTTATCCCGGGGGCCTGTTGCGGGATTACTAAGAGATAAGCCCCCGGCGTCCAGTTAGCGGAGCGTAAGGGGTTTTTCGGAGGAGCTGCAGGAGCGTGGTGGGAAGGCCCCAGGCAAAGTGGAGGGACGGCAGGTGTAGCCGAGCCTTTGGCACAGTCCGCCGAGGGTCTGAAGTGTCAGCTTCACAAGGAGGTAATTCACAAGTGCTACTTTACTTTAGATCTGGAGGCGGAGGTTGGGGAACGGGGAAGGGGGGGTGTCACACGGGTTCGGGGACGCGGTTTAGGGGCTCTAAAGGGTCGAGAGGGGCTGGACAGCTAACGCAGAGGGTAGGGCGCTTGCCTTGCTCCCGGCCGGCCAGGATTCCACCCCCGGACCCCTGAACCCCGCCAGCAGTGAGCTCCTGAGCGCACAGCGAGGAGCAAGCCCTGAGCACCTCTGGGTGGAGTGTGGCCCTCCCCAGATAAGAGACCCGCAGCCCACCTTGGCACCCCCACGTCGGTGCCAGCCCAGCCGCCCTGCCCTGCTCCCATCCCACCCGTGCCCGGCGGGCACGCCGCCTTGGGTCGCTGCCACGCCGCAGGAGAGTTCCGCAAGAGAGCTCGGCGGGCCCCCTCCTCCCGAACGGGTCTCCCGAACGGGGCCAGCGCCCCCCGCTTCCCATCCGCCCCAGACGGGCACAACGTCGCCAGACCCGGAACGCGCACCCGGGCCCCCAGGGCCGAGGGGCAGCGGGAGGGATCCCAAAGTTCGCCGCCGCCACCCCCGTTACTTAAGCCCACTGGGTCTGCAGCTCCCCCTTGGCCCCAGACCTCGCCACCCCATCCCGGGCTCTCCCCGGCTCCCCGCGGGGGGTCGCCCGGAGGACCCCGCGGCGCCGCGACTCCCGCTCCGCAAGCCCGGGGTGGGGTGTGTGTGTGGGGGGGGGGGGGATGGGGGGGAGGTAAAAGCCGGCGCCGGCCGCCGCTCTCACGCTCGCGCATCGATTGGCCAGGCCTTGCTGCCTGGGCGCCCGGCGCGCGCGAGCGGCCCGGGCCGCCGAGGGCCCGGCGGAGCGCGGGGCGGGAACCCTGGCAGGCGGGCCAGGGGATTGCCGAGCGCATGGATGGGCGCGGGGGCTGGCGCGCGCCGGGCTCGCGGGTTTCGGGGGGCGGCGCCGGCCAGCCAGTGCGGCGCGAGGCGGGAGTCGCGCCTCCTGCGTCGCCCCCGGGCTAGCGCCGACCCGGCCCCTGCGCCCCGCGGCGGGGCTGCCCGGCCCCGCGACCCGCGCCCCTCCCGGGTGGTAGCGGGCGCGCGGCGGAGGGAGCGCGCGCTGGCGGCGGCGGCGGCGGCCCGTCCCCTCCCCCTCCCCCTCCCGCCGCCGCGCACAGCTCGGGGAGCAGCCGGGGGCTCGGCGGCGGCGGCGGCGGCGGCGTCTGGCCCCGGCTCCTCCTCCTCCTCCTCCTCGGCCTCCTCCTCCTCGTCCGCCTCCCACTCCTCCACCTCCACCACCTCCTCCTCCATCGCCTCCTCGCTCCCTCCGTCCGCGGCGGTTATGGCCCGTCGCCGGAGCACAAAAGCGTCTCGGCCGTGGAGGTCTGCGTGGGTCCTGCTGCTCCTCGCCGGAGTGCACGGTAAGTGGCCGTGTGGTCCCCGCACCCGGCGATCCAGCAGAGCCGCCTTTCCCCCGACCCCCCTCCCCCTGGCCCCGGGGTTCCGGGGAGAACCGAGGAGGGACCTCTCGGCCGCTGGCGGGACAAAGACCCGGCGAGGGGTGGCTGCAGCGGAGGGGTGGGGGGTGCCCCCTGGCGAGGATGCCGGCGTGCCCCGACGGAGCTGGCTCCGGGCTTGCAGAGGAGCTTGGGCCCTGCCCGGGGGGCGTCTGGTGTAGGGAGAAGCCAGGAGGTGGTCCGCAGACTCCCCTCCCCGCTCCGGGGTGCTCCCCTCCCCAGCCCGCGGCCTCTTGGTGACTCGGAGCCCCGTGCACAAACCGCACACAAAGACAGGAGCCCGAGAAAGACGGGGCTCAGCCGCCCCCCCAGCCCCCGGTCCCCAACTCCCCCGGGGGCGTCAGGAAGTTCTCTCTCCGCGGAGATGGCCGCGGCACCGGGACCCCCCGGGTCCCCCTAACCCGAAGCAAGCCGCCCCCCGTCTCCTCCCCCCCCCCCCCCCCCCGGCCGCCGGGGGGCCGAGCTCGGCGGGTCCCGGGCGTGCAGGGTCCTGCCCTTCGCGGGAGCCGCGGGGGGAGAAGGCCAGAACTGAGTTTCCAGCCCCACCTCCGTCTCCGTACTCCCTCGCGGGGCGCACAGGTCCGCCAGACTCGCGGCGCATTTGTCACTTCACCCGTCCTTGTGTTCGTCCCTGTTGCTGGATCGCCACCACCCTCCCAAGCCCACCCCTGGTCGGGGCGCGTGGTCGACCGAGGTTTGGTCCGGTTCGCAGAAGGCTGCAGAAGGCTTGGCGGGGGCGGCAGGAGTTCTCCTGCACTGCACGTTCCTCTCCCGACCCCGCCGTTCACGGGTCCAGTGAAACGCCGGGGAGAGAGGGTCTGTCCGTGCACACAGTGGTCCTGCGCTTCGGAGGGGGCGGTGATCATCCGAAGTTGCCCTTCTTCGGTACCTTTGCCGGCTGCACTCGCTGCATCCGTCGTGGTGGTGGGCAGGAGTTGGGTCACCGGGTAATTCTCCAGCATGTGGCTGTGGAATTGAATGTGACTGTAACTTTGAAAGCGGAAGATAAAGGAAATTCGGTGAAGAATTCCCAAGTGGACATTTCCCTGACAGCCAAGGAATCCCCCTTCCCGATGGGATTTCCAGCGCGTTGCCCTCTGACCCAGTTGTTGGTGACTCAGGGAGAGGTTTGTGCGGCCGTCCTGGTACTGCTTGGCAGTGGTGGGCTGGTGTGTTCCCAGAAACCCCTGTGTGCGGCTTCTTGAGTGTTAGTTGCTTCAAGTGGTGTGGTCCCTGCTCCCGCGGTGACTTGTGGGAGAGGGTGAGACCCCAACATCAGATTAGGTTGTTTCTTCTTCCCTGATGATGGATGCGGACTTTCCAGGGGGACTGTAGGACTCAGGTGGCTTCCGTCCTGAGTGATCAGGAGTTTCCAGCAACTCCGCAGTAACCAAACTTGAATTTTAGGGCCATCTGGTCAGACTGGTGACACAGATGGAGTCTTTTTCTCTTTCATTAGGGCTTTCTGTCATTGCCCTCTGAACGGAAAGTCTGTTCACCTCTAGGGATGACAGGCTTTGAACCCTGTCATTTGCCATCTTTGGCCCTTGTACACAAAACAACTTTTCCTCCCATTAGCTATTTTGAAAGGGTTGTATTTGGGGGGAGGTGGGGATTTGTGTTGAGCGAGGAATTGTTGGGAAGCAAACGCTGACACTCCTTTCTCCTTCAGAGTAGGACCAGGTTATAGACAGTGACTGATGGAGGCCAGGGGGCATGCCGGGAGCCCCAGGAAAGTGTGAAGAACAAGGAGACAGCCCCAGGGAGCCCAAAATTTCACTGGGGGAAATATTTCTTGCGCTCTGCCCTTCCCTTCCTCTTCTGTCTTGCCACTACAGATGATTTTACAGTGGAGAAAAAAGCCCAAACCGGGGTGAGGTCTGTTAAACTTGACTGTGCATTAGTTGTGGTGAGCTGTGCCGGTGTCCTGAATAAGGCCCAATCCCCTGAGCCTCTCAGAACAGCTGCTGATTGTAATTTATGAAATTGTCCCTTCTGCATCAGAAAGCTCGTTTTTTTTTTTTCAAAGTGATTTCAAACATAATTGGAAAACTTTGTTAAACAACTAAGTGTCCAAAGTAAGTCAGCATAAACCATATGGAGAAAGCCAGGTTGACCGGCTAATGTTTAGGTAATTCCAAGCCAACTTTTCCTTCTTGTCTGTTAACTGTAACATGAGTGCCAGCTCCTGAACCTTATCTATACAGGTGTTGTTTTTTGTTTTGTTTTGTTTTGTTTTTTAACCTGCATTTATCTTGGCTTGTCCTGAGTGACTAGTGAATGAGGCCAGTTCAGTGGCAGAGCATGGCTGTCTCAGTGCCAAGTTACCTTTCTGAATGAGAAAGCCATATTTGGGACACAGCGTTGTGATACAGAATGAGTTTGTAAGGAGCTGCTCAAAGACCAGTACTCTGCTTGGAACGGCAGCGTCTTAACAGCATCAGATGTTCCAGAAAGTTCAGAGAAAGGTGAAGGTTCAGCTGCCTTTGGGAATTGGACGGAATAAGAACATGAGTGGGGGCACTTGTGAGCTTGACTGGCATGTCTGGGTTTTACAAATGCGAAGGTTTCCCAAAGGACCTCCTCGCCAGTAGATGTTATTAGTCATGCGCTCTGAAGCCACAACTGACTCATTGGAGTAGTCACATTGCTTTCTTCTTTTCCACATCTGGTTGTCATCCAGATGATATTTTCTAACTTTTCTGTTTACTCAGATTCACCCTCAGAAATACACTATATGTTGCTCCCCTTGTACACAGCAAAGCTTGTGAAATAATATTGCCCTTATGCTGGTGTCTTTCTGTTCTGTTTGTCTTCGCTCCCTTCACCCTTCCTCAGTTGGTTTGCTGGGCTGGACACATCATTTGAAACCCACTAATAGATTGCAGTCCTAAGTTCAACTCTTGCCCTAGATGCAGCCTTCAAATATAATGTAGAACGATTGTGTTTGTGTCTCATTTTACAGTAGCCTTGAAGAGTGGCAGATTGGTTTTTGGTTAGTTGCTTGCCGGGCCCTTGGTAGCAGTAAGACTCTTCCTGGCTCACACTGGTGATGAGATTCAGCTTTAAACTTCTTTTCAGTTCTAAGTCAGAAGTCAGCTGTGTCGGGCGCTGTTGTAAAAGTCACAGGCGTGAGACATACTCCTTTTGTTCTTGCATCTCCTATTTGATGGGTGACTCTTTCCCAGTGAATCTTAGGGAACATTCAGCAGCATTTCGTGTAAATTTCCAGTTTAAGGAGAGAGTAGAAATAACAATTTTAGAAAGCTAGTAAGTGGAACTAAATTAGATGGAACTTGATGGGGGAATCTAAACTAGATTCTAATTTTAAAATAGTCAAGCTTGATTACATAAAATATGTCGAATAAAACGGAATTAATTGCTTAACATAGATCCTTTCATGGGTTTATAATCTAAATTATAGCTATATCCTATAGAGATTCCACCAAATTGTAGATTTTTTGTTTGTCTGTTTTCAATTGGGCAGAAAGAATTAAATTTCCAAGGGGTAGCTAGCTGTGGTTCCAAGAAAAGCATGAGGAGGTTTGAATTGTGTATGGTAAATGATTAGGAAGATTCCTAGAAAGTAAAATCTCTGAAGAAGGCATAAAAGTGATGTCAGACTGAACACTGAGCAGCAGTTAGAGAAAATGTTTGGAAAGAAAAGACTCTTAGTGGTTAGAAAATTTAAAGCTTATCAAGAAGGCAAGGCAACTGGGAGACTTTTGGTCTTCCTGCTTTGTGGGTTGTGTTTTGCCTCTTCATGCATTTTATCAATGACTTTTCAGTAGCAAGAATCAAAGGTTTAACAGAGGCAAATATTTTAATCTGTGTGAGGTTTATGTAGATGCACGCAAACATAACCTGACTTCATTTCAGAATTTTAACTATCTTCTTCTCGTTGAGAGTCTTTATAAGTGGCATCTGTTCCACACTCAGGAGTTGAATCAAAGAGCTTTGATTACTAAGGTTAACTTTCTCTCTAATTTCTGCTTTTTCTTCATAGCCTCTCCTAGTTTTAGAAGGACAAGTAATAGATGTGCGTAAATGATATACTCTCATTTTCTGCGATACAGGATTAGATCTTACAAATGCAAACTTCCAGGCTGTTTGCATATGTGCTGTCAATATATATGTCATTGCAACTAAATACATACATGTTTATATACATGTATGTATTTAGTTGCAATACCTAATTAGCTTAGGAAATTCTCAGTATCTGAGCTGTAGGAAGAGATGAAGGAAGCTAATGTTAAATTCAGTTCAGATATGGTACTTGATCTTTGTTCTTTGCCAGTTAATCTTCATTAGGTCTTGTTTAGCAATCCTACAAGTCATTCCTTTCTTATGTAAGAGAAAATTAAAGCTCAGTTGTGACTTATCTGAGATCAAGCTGCTAGCAAGTAGTGGGATAAGGATTGCAGCCTTATCCGGTCTGCTCACTCGTTCATTCCTTTAACAAGTATTGATCAAGCGCGGGCATCTGGCATTGTGTGAGCCTCAGATGATTCATATCATCTCTGCCCTTGTGGAGCTTACAGTCCAGTGAAGAAGCTGCCCTAAGTGCCCTAACCGTAAGTGCCCCAACAGAAACGAAGGCAGTGGGTGGGTGGGGGAGGTCAGTGGGTCAGGCCCCTGCCTGGCATGGGACTGAGCCAGCTTCAGCTCCCAGCACCCAGCACCCCATCTGGTCTCCTGTGCTCCTTCCGGAATGATCCCGGAGCTCACTCGGAGCCAGGCTGATGTGTACCCCCTCCCTTCCCAAAAGAACCAAAGAACCGAGAGTAAATAAATAAAGATAATTGGCTGCTTATTGGGAGGTTTCTTTGTCTAGGATGGCTCCGCTTGCTGCACTTGAGAGCCTGGGGGGAGGGGGAGTTGGCAGCAACCCAGGAAGACTCCCA